TAGGTAACTACTCTAGGATAAGTATATCTGTGAAGGAGTAAAACCAAAAACGCCGAGGGAGGAACACTTCAGGCTGATGAGGTTTGGGGACTAAACCTGCGTTCGGGCATCCTGGGTTAGTTTGCATCATCCTCCCCAGGATGGCAGCAGGCCCAGGCCCCTTTGCAAGGGTCATTTCCTCTGTTTGTACATGAAGGGGACTCTCAGCCCTGGAGCTGGGTCACATCAAGATCTCAGGTAACACTGATGTTAAGATTATTTCATGCCCAGGGGCTGCTGTGGGCTGCCAACCATGCAAGACAATTTAGGATGAGTTTTCTTGATCCTGTGGAGACAGCAAAAGAAGCGGTGCTTGCTTGTGGCTGCTCTGGGCTTGGAAGATGAGAGGAAGCAACCGAACTAGCAGAAACGGGTGAGCAGACTTCAGGTGCGTGGTATGTGTGTTCTGAACATCTGCGGCCTTGCTCCCGCTGGCTTCTTCTACCGACAGCGTGCAGTCACACAGACATTAGGCTGTCGACCAGACAGATCATTTAGGACCTGGGGAAGGCCAGTTGACCTCAGCAATGCTGTGGTCCACTTGCAGAGGAGCGCGTACTCAGTATGTGGGCCACCTGCAACCAGAAAAACGATGTTTTTCTTTATTGTGTTCGTGATAGCCAGCAGTGCGCGCCTGCTACAGCTGCAAACGGACAGCGTAGCTGTGTCAGATCCCATAATTCATGGCAGAAGGTCACTGAAGAAGACAGCTTAGAAGCTGTGACAAGACCTTCCCTTGCTGATTTTGGCAAACAGCTAATTGCACTGGTTCTGGCAGGAGCCAATTGAGCTTCACCTGTACAGATTGCAAACCCATGTAAAAGTGAATGGGGTAGAAATATTTATCCCTTAAAATCCCATTAGGTAAATAATCTGTTTGAGAATTCAAATCCTGTGCTAGAAAGGCCCACAGAGATATCCCTGCCAGCAGGTCCCCATGCCTGAGGGTGCATCTGCCTCCATCCTGTCCTGTTCATGAAGGCTTTGGAAGAGCCACAGCACAGATGTAAAAGCTGTATTCTGACCCATCCAACAATGAGTCCCCATGCCAAAGTCCTGAGCCACCCCACCACACTCTGGCCACGTGCATCTCTCTGCCTGCTTTGGCAGGTAAGAACTTTCCAGCACTGCTGCTTCCATGCCTGCTTTCCTGCTATCCTCTCCTGGAGTACTCAGCAAGACCACTGCTCCCTCTTGGCTCAGGTCCTTTCCCAGGGTCTGTCATTCCTGTGAGCAAACTAGCTCAAACCACTATTCCCAGGTGAGATCTGCTCCCACTGTGAAAGCTGACCAGGACAAGCTCAGGGGTAGCAGGGAGGGCACAGGCAAGAGAGCCCTGGGAGGAGCTGGCTGCTGACCTCTGCTGAGGGGGTCTACAGACCTGGGGGCAGCTGGTGGGGAAGTCCATCCATTTGGGCACTAGAAAAAACATCCCAGCTGCAAGCACAGGCTTATCACAAAGGCTCAGCTTGGTTTCTGAGTACTCCCCTCCCTTTGTACCATTTTTTCTTAGTGAGTGGTGGGAATTTTCCAGGAATTTCTGATTAGCAAATGTCTCAGCAGTGTTTTAAGAGTATAAATCCTACTGGAAGCCTTAGCCTGAATGTGAAGCACATGCCGCCCTCATTTATCAGGTGTCTGCTGGGTTCACAGGGAGACCCAAACCCCAGGGTAGCAGCCAGCATCGCTGGGTGGTGGCTCTGCGTGGCAGGGACACAGCCTGCTATCGGCTGTAGACCTTGTCTGATCCTCATGTTCATTCCACATAAGCAAGGGTTAATTACTCAAGTTATAAGACTGAGTGCATCAAATCATCAGTAAACCTGCCTCAACCCCATTGTTGTGTTAAAGACAATATTCAGGACTGGCCTTGGTGAAGAACCGTGAAGGAAGGGGATTGTCTGGTCTACCTTTCTACCCCACTCCTGCAGGAAAGGGCGCCTAAAGGTTGGCATCGTGGCTGCCCGTTTACTTACGTGGGCAGAGAGGGGAGGGTGCTGCTGGTCCAGGAATGCGCGGTGGCTGGTCCAGGGAAGCCCCCGTGGGGCACGGGGAGCACCCCCGTGGGAGGGTAGTGGTGGTGGTGGTGCACGGCAGAGAGCCGGGGCCTGTCGGCTGTCACAGCAGCAAACTGCAGGTCCTTCTGGGAGAGAGACAAAGGGCGGTTTGTGACATCTGTGCATCCGCGGGAAGGGTCCCTGGTGGGGGGGCAGACATTTGGGCTCAGCAGGTGCAAATACTCATCAGCTCCCTCCAGGCCAGGGGGTGGGCTGTGGAGGAGGATTGTATCCCCTACCCCTCCGTTAAACTCGGGGGTCGGGGGCTTTTAAACCAGTTGTTGCTTTTTCAAATAGCACATAGGAAAGGTGTGAGTGAGCGGGGCAAGGACTGCAGAAGGGTGGGCATTACCTTCTCACCCAGCACCCCACCTCCTTAACATCCGAGAAAAAAACCCCAAATCTTTCTTACAGCACAGGGAAAAGACATAGCCTGAGAATGGAGGGGTAGGAAAAGTACTGGGGAAGGTTTTGCAACATTGGGAAATCCCCTCCTCCCCAAAGTTCAAATGTCCTTCCTCCTTAGGTCATAAATGCTACAGGCTAGACACTAGAAATGCATTTTTCCAAAGCACTTAAGAACGCTAAGGAGCTGTATCACCTTGTTGAAAACAGCTTAGGAATTGGGCATCTACGGATATGTTCAAAACTGCCCACCTCTTATCAGGCACTGTACACGTTTTGGAAAAATCCCTAGAGGGATCTGCACACCAGAATGTCTTTAAGATCTCTCCTCCCAGAGCTCAGTAGGCATCGATTTTCAGTGAGACAGGAAGTAGAGCAGTGGGGCTCCAAGTACGATCACAAAATCTGTGCTCTCTTGCTCATTTGAAATTAACAGGTCAAATTTTATCAATTACAGGATTTGTAATGCAAATATCGCCCTGCTGTTTGCAGCAAGTGGACCTGCAGCAGCAGATGTCTTCTATGCATAGAGGGGTTCACCTGTACGGGACAGATAATTTTCAGAGCTGGACTGAATACTGTTTGCACTTGTGGAGGATACATTCTCCCACTGGGTCCTGCCACAGCACCCATCGTGGGGACAAGGCAGGCTGTGCTCTGCTCAGTAACAGCTTTCTGGTGCAGTGGGTTTGAAGATGCACCCAGCTGTTCAACTTCCCAGACTTTTGTCCAGGCCCTGCACCCTCCCCGGGGAATCGACCATTGCCCTGTGTAAGCAAGGGTGCCCCCAGACTCAGGTGTCGTTACCTGCTGTGCCTGTGGCACCAGGGTAGAGCTGGCTCCAGCAGGCTGGGCGAACGCCATCGGTGGCAGAGCCTTCAGCATCATGTTCTGCATGATGATCTGGTGCATCTGAGCGTTCTGCATCAACATCATCTCGACCATATCTGGGAAGAGGTCAGCCCAGGAAAGAAAGAGCGAGCTTTACCATTGCTTCCGCTCAAGATCATTGCTTTCCATGAGAGAGGTTTCCTCGACGTTATGTGATATTGCAGTGCCACCTTGAGAGCCCACTGCGTGTGCATTAAGTCTACTTACCATCACCTCCGGGTCCTAATCACAATGGACCTGTGCAGGGGAACTAATTTGCTTGTGGGGGGAAGAGAGAGGGGGGAAAAAAAAGAAGAAAAAAGAAAGAAAAAAAAGTCAAGGCAATTCTCCTTTTGTTTTTTAACTGGTCATACCCGAAGTAATTTATATGTGTCAGCTTCAGAAAAATCATGCATGAATTGGGTTTTGTTTATGCAAATAAACTCTGATTCAAAAATCCAGACACTTAGATGAAGAAAGAGCTGAGAAATATTGTAATTGCACGACTGAGGATTTCTCTGTGGGATGAAGAAACCTTTGACTGAAGGATCAGCCAGGGAAGTCATCCCAGGTTTTTGTTCATGTATGATTTCACAGCAGCATCCACCTATGCTTAGAAACAAATGCTTTTTATTGGCATTGCACTATATTTGGAACAGCACTTTCAGCTGCTCTGTCTTGTTTCCAAACATGGGGCATAATATAAGCCTTATTGCTCTGAGGAGACTGAACTGCAGGTGAAAAGGGGAAAAAAGAATAAAACCAGATTTTAAAAGCTTGTTTGTTAATTCTGGAGTCATCCATGCGCATGAGTTTAACCTTGTTAATGTTACTCAGTGCCTTGGCTTGAGCTGTTTTGCTTTCTCAAGCTTCCCTGACTGTTTAACTTGGCTTTGCTGAGTCTGTAGTCCCTTTTTCTTTAGTGTTAGCAGTAAGAGTTTGTCTGAAAGATGCTCAGAAATGGTATCTAGTCTATGTATGGGTGCAATTCCCACAGCTCTAGCAGCAGCCCGGTCGAGAAACAGCACATCACTAACTAGCTTGGATGCCGTCCTGTGTCTCCTTCTCCTTGCTGTGGCACCTTGCCTGCTCTCCGAGCTGGCTGCTAGGCAGAGGCTACTTTACCTTCCTTAATGCTTCCAGAGCGGGGACCTGCAAAAGTCTGGGCAGGGGGGATCTGCGTGATCAGGGGGGGTGGCTGAGGTAACTGCTGGATGATGGTGGCAGGCTGAGGAGGCATCTGAAAAAGAAAGCAAAATTGAGAAGTCAGGGTTTGTTTTGGCCAGTTCCCTCATCTTTGGGAGGAGAGGGCAGTGGGTATCATCTGCCTGGACTTCAGTAAGGCTTCAGACATCGTGTGCCATGAGATCCTCGTGGAGAAGCTCTTGGGGCTGTGGACTGTACGAGCAGGCAGTGATGTTCAGAAATGGCTGAACAGCTGGGCCAGAGCATGGGCAACCCTCCCACTCCTCTTGCTACCTTGTACCTGTGGTAAACCATTCACGCTGTTATTTTGTGCCTTATTTGTAAGATGATTCCCCTTAGATTTTGCCTAGGATGTAAAGGATCCCATACAACAACGAGAGGCATGTCTTCCCTTTCGGTGGGATGAGCGTTCCCATCCCACCCCAACTCCTTCCACCTGCAGCTATGATCTCAGACCAGCACAGCACTAGCAGTGTTTCCTAGGAGGGAGGATCCTTACCGTCTGCTGGATAATCCTTGGTGGCTCCACTTGGGTAGCTGGAAAAGGTATTTGGTAGATACGTGGGGTGGCAGCTCTGTGGTCATGACAGTGTCCTCCAGCTGGTGCTGGGGGCTGTGAAAGCTCTTCCAGAAGGTGCTGCTCCTGCAAAACCAAGTATTTTCTTATAGAAAACCTGAAAGGCAGATAGTATTGTTATGCCCTCTGGACTAAATGGGATTATTCCTTGGGATCCCACAGCACGGCACAGCCTTGCTCGCCAAAACACTGCCGCAGAAGCATCCGGCGCTGCTGCATCTGTCAGGCAGACCACAAGTGACCACTGTGTGAAGGGAAGCACTCAACAGTGCCTGCACTAGTATAAAGAAAGTTTTTCCTTATAAAACAGTTCAGGACAAAGAGAATAAACCCAGGAACTAACTGAAGTGGGTGCAAGATTTGTTAGCTGTAGTGGGGACAGTCATACTGCTCTCCGGCCCCTCTCCCGGATTAGCTGGCCCATCCTCTACACTCTTAACCAGCAAAGGACTGAATCCTGCCCAGCCAGAACTAAAGGAGGGGAAAGAAGGGAATCCACACTGGCAGGGGATGTACAGATAACCTGGCCCTTTCTGTTGTTTCTGTCCACAGATACAAAGTGGAGAGCTCTTACCCTAAGCTCCTGCAGAAGATCTTTCCTTCGCCTCAGGGCACTTTGGAGCATAACCTCATGTCTGCTGCCTGAAGGAAGAAAAGTCCATTACCTTCTCAAAGGATCGCAAAGACAGAGCTATTACAGCACCTACATTATGAGATTAAGTTTGGAAAACATGATCTAAGGTGGTTTGACTTCTTCCACAAAAGGCTTTAGGCTACTTTATTGCCAAATTCACGAATGGATAAAGACCTCATGCCACTTACAGGCACAGCTGGATTGCTCTGTAAAGCCGCCTTTTAACCTCCTGGCTTAGAAATTCATTTCAGCCTGAAATTTCTAGATCTGCTCTGTACATGCAGAGGATGATTGTGCAAAGTGTAAAAAAGGTTTGTTGTCACATATCAAACCAAACTCAAGTTTTGAATGTCAGCATTTCTGTTTCTTTTTTCTTCTGAATCAACTTCCTTTTCAGTTCTTCCCACTTATATCTGATGTTGAACTCGCTTGAAATGAAAATAAGAAAGAATGTTTCCAGATACATTGGAGGGATGCCTGGCATCTGCTCTGAAAAGCATCACTTTGGTTTTTGAAACCAAAGAATCATAGAATTGTTTGGGTTGGAAGGGACCTTAAAAGCCCCTAGTTCCAACCCCATGCCATGGGCAGGGACCCCCTCCACTAGACCAAGTTGCTCAAAGCCTCATCCAGCCTGGCCTTGAACACTTCCAGGGATGGGGCTTCCACAGCTTCTCTGGACAACCTGTGCCAGTGCCTCACCACCGTCTCCGGGAAGAACTTCTTCCCGGTATCTAATCTAAACCTCCCTGATTTCACTTTGTACCCGTTACCCCTTGTCCTGTCACTACAGGCCCTTGTAAAACATCCCTCCCAGCTTCCTTGTAGCCCCTTCAGGTACTGGAAGGTGCTATAAGGTCTCCCTGGAGCCTTCTCTTCTCCAGGCTGAACAAGCCCAATGCTCTCAGCCTTTCTTCATAGGAGAGGTGCTCCAGCCCTCTGAAACTGTAAGTTGTCAAAGAGATTTTTAATTTTTGGCCACCGTACTGAAAGTTTCCAACTATCTGTGCATCAGCTCAATGAATATGAGCCCGGAGTACAATCTAAAAATCCTGCTGATCTTCTACTGGTAACCTTTAATCCACAGATAACACAAACACTGCATGTGTCATGTAAAGAAATGACTGCACTGCACATAGCATGTGTAGCTTCCATGGGAGTACTGTTGAAGGGAACACATTGCTTGTACATGAAACATCAGAGCAGTCTTTGGAAGGGTTTGATAAAGACACTATTACTAAAAAAGTTACTAAAAAACCTCCCTTACTTATCAACCTTTGGCTGGTTCGTTAGCTTTTATAGAGAATTGGCTAAACTTTGGAAGTCTCATAAGCACACTGGGATTCCTGACCTCTGTGTCCAAACCCAAGTCATGATGTAATTGCACATGCATGATTTCCTGGTAAAATGGTATCCCAGCTCTTATCAATGCAGTCCTCAAGACCAGCTCTTTCGGTATAATGATTTGTTTCATAAGGTGAGTCACACTTTTTTTACACTGGAAACCACGTTGTGGTCTGCACAAGTCTGCATTGATCAGCTTCCAAGGTGCAAAGCAGCATTAGCAGTGGAGTGTTCCTCCTGCCTGGATCCCCCAGAGACACACAGCTGTCCTAATGACTCCTTTTTGGGATCACCAAAACCAAGCATACAGCTAGACTGCAATGGGGGCTCACTCCTAGGTGTAGGAGCTAGGAGGAATAGGATCACCAGTAGTTTGCTCCAGCCAAACCAGCATCCACAGCTGAGAGGCTGCAGAGGACACCTGGACAGAAAGCCATCCTTATGTCAGTGCTCAGATGTCTGATTATTTCCCTTTGTCAAAAAAAAAAAAAAAAAAAAAGGCTAAAGAGATTCAAAAGACAAATGGTCAATAGCCCTCAACCCTCGCTGCTAAGGTTCACCCGTCTCGCTTAGGACCACGACTAGTATACAGTCTGACATTACTGCACAAGCTTCACTGGAACTTGCATTTTTGCTACTTCAAATCCCCAGGGCTGCATACAAATTTAGACACGCAGGCTGAGCAGTTCAGAGTCTCTCTCCTGCCCCCCAGACACTGTCCTTGCCACAGAAGCCAAGACAGTGTAAGTTCTGACTATCCAAATGCCCAACCACTGAGCACAGAGCTTTTAGGGAGGCAATGTGATCGTCTGATGTGACCTACTGAGGAACTCATGCCTCAGAACATCACTAAGTCCTTTCCATATCATGCCCGTAATTAGAACAAATGCTTCTTGTTTACTTGCAGCTGGGAGAGGTGACTCCATCTTCTCTAGGTTCTCCTGTTCATTTTCTAGTCTCTGTTGGTAAAACCGCAAGAACTGGTTATGAATCAGGCAGCAAAGCTCACAACAATTTCCAACCCTACCCCACAGGCATAGGTTTGGGATGGAGGAAATAAAGCAGAACTGGAGACAAGAGATGCTTCTTAACTGCTAAATTATAGCTAGCGAGGGCTACAACTTCCAACTGGTTGTAGCTAGTGAGGGCTTCCAACTGCCCAGGCTATCCCCGACCTGGAAATTGATAACACAGTGAATCAGGAGATGTATACGTCATTTATTTCATAGGGTGGAGATCTGTATCCTATGAAGAACTTAATGCTGGACAGTTTGGGGTATTCAGTGCACTAATAGCCTGAATGACCCTGACCAGTCTCACCCGGGGCTTCCATCCACACGTACACCCCATGTGCCTAGAAGCCTCTTTAATCTCTGCCCTAGGTCTTCTGTTCCTACCTGAGCTACACGGGATATGTATTGGTCTGCAATTTACTCCTACACTTTGCCTGTCACAACCCAGTCTGGTCTTGAGCTAACTGGTGACATCTCCCACATGATCAAAGTCACTTTAACTATTTTTAATTCACTGTAGGTCTGTGTAAACTTGGACAATATTATTTCAGAAAGTGACAGTGACTGTAGCACCTCTGCACCTTGTTCTGCCTCTGCTTACACAAAGGAAGAGGTTCTCCATTGGCTGAAGACCCTCTTTTCATCTCACTAGAAATATAATTATTTAAAACACAATGTTAATGCAAGAGCAAAAAAGCAGAGCAAAGGTGACCACTACAGAGTCATTCCCTTACCTTTTCTAGGAGTTTGAGTTGCAGCCGTGCCATGTGATCTACCACTGCAGGATCTGTCATTGCAGTAGTTTCCTGGAAGAGCAGGCAGGCAAAAACAGGTTAAAAAGCTAAGCAAAGGAAGATAGTTTTTCAGTGGTCTTTTTTTTCCCCTTCACGATCTTCATAGAAGAATGGTTCCATCAGGAAAAAAACCCAAAACAAAAAAACCAAGATTGTGAGGAACTGAGGAAAGAAGATAAAATCTCCAGTTTCACTCCCAGATAAAAATGAGTACAGATGTCCGCCACAACGTCGTAGAGACAGCTTTTCCCTGACAGTGGCACTAAGCTCAGCCCTCTGTGTTGTTCGTGTCTTCTAAGTAGCTCAGAGTTTTGTGCCTGTAACCTGGTTGCTATGTTTGTAGTGTCAACGCCCAATATCAACAATTTAATCTCCAAGTGTAGAAGCTCATGTACTTCTTGTTAAGCAGATGCCCAGTGTATTAGTGGACAAGAAAAAAGGAAATAAAAGCCAATGGTTGTTTAACACAAGCCCAGTGCTAGGGGTCAGATTATGACCCTCATGATTGATACCTGATAGCTATATTTATCCCACTGTAAGGTGCCTGTACACTTTTGACATAGCCCTTTGTATAAGTTTTCATCACCAGATAGTAACTGAAAACTCAGAAAATTAAGGAGCATAGCTTGAACCCATCCCTGGGTGAGTAAAAGGGTAAAGAGGCTGTGGTACAACATCCTCTCGCTTACCATCTCTCAAGCACCCTGTAGGGTGTCTCCCCCCATCCAGCCAAGCCCTACCAGCATAAAAAACAGGGCAACTTTGATCAGTGACATCCATAAAATCAACACCAACGCATGGGAAGCCAAGTTACAGATACTCATTCTCAGTATCATATTTTAAGCATGGTTCTGCTCCTTGGAGGGCAAAGTTGCAACCCCTTCCATGCTTGAAGGCCATTGCAAAGCCACAGCTGAGTCACTGCGGGAGCAACTGATAGATGCTTGTAGGGAGCTGTGTGGGAGCAGCAGAGATCACCTCCTCCAGCTGTGACCCACACAGCATGTGTGCAGTCTGGCCTTAAAAATACACAGGCTGGTAGTCACCGGAGAGGTTACAGAAACTGAGACATGGGAATCGCAGAAATAGCGGTGCCGCGTCAGAGCTGAGGCTCAGCTTTCTTCGGAAGGGCTCGTTTGCGAATGCTGCAAGTGACACAGCAGAACAGAAAACCCTCTCACCTGCCAGTAGTTTTCCTGAGAAACAGCTCTGAGTACATTTTTGTACTTTGAAAGCCCAACAGATTCTGCTGCTGTCATCTCTAACCTCTTTGATCCCTTCATCCTTTGGGCAGCTGCAACAACCTTTGACAAGGAGTTTCCTAGTTGTGTTGAACTTAAGCATAAGCCTAGTTATGCAAGTAAACTGCATAAGTATAGTTAACTTAAGTGTTAGGCAAAAATAAGGATTACATTTAGGCTGTTTTAAATCTAGATTCCTGAAAGATTGTTGGAAATTTTCTTGTTATGTGAAATATTTACAACTGTTCACCATGCACTTTTCCCGTACCATTTGCGAGTTATACTCCTGTATCATATTCCCGTTCAGGTGTGCCTTTTTTAAGGAGGAGAATCTATATAATTAGACCTCAAAGAGTAGATTTTCCTTACCCATTGATCTCATAACTTGGCTGGAAAGGTACAAGGCAGGAGCCTCCTCGGACTGCTGTGATACCCACCTCTTGGCCTCCGCTATCAGCCGCTCGCAGAAGGTGCTGCATCAGCTGCACCTTTGATCACCCCGTGGCCATACATCTGTTTGTACAGTCTGACGTTTATCCTTGTCGCTTCTCTCTGTACCTTGCCAGTTTATACCCTTCTGTGATGGCGTGACCGGGGTTGTGGGCAGCATCCGGGCAGTGACGGAGCAAAGCAAGCTGCGTTGGCGTCTCCAGACAACCACAACAGCAACAAGCCTGCTATTAGTCACTGCTGCTGACGGCCGATGCACACTGAGCTGATGTCTTACCATCAGCTGGTGAACAAAGAGCCCCATTAAGGGAAATTTCTGGAGCCTTCATTGCATTAGGAATAGGGGCTTACAAGATAGGTTGACAAAAAGAACCAGGTGTAAGTATTCCATTTGCGCTGGATTCAGCCAGGTGCCACTGTGAAACAACTGGGTTGACTACAGAGGAAAAGCAGAGGGTGAAACTTCTGGTTGGTGACAGGTATCCCAGAGGAAATCCAATATTAGGTAAAAAATGGTTTCCAGTAAATCTGCTAAGGGATATTGCTTTTCCCACACTTACCGATGCCCTGGTCACAGTGGAATCCCTACTCTAAGGACATCTTACAACCTGCCAGAAATGCACCAGCCAGACACAAGAGGATCTTGCCGAAAGGGATCTATAGTGACATGGAACCACAAACTAGGGATCACTCATGAATGTGGTGATGCAAAAGAGCAAAACCAGTTAGCTTTAATTCTGCAGAGGACTAAAGGACTGCACCTCAGAGGAGATAATTATTCTGCTCTATTTAGCAACGCTGAAGTCAGAGTTTGAATACTGTACCTAATTTTAGACACGGTGGTTTAGGAGGGAAATAAAGTCCTGGAAAAAAAAAAAAGGTACATGTATAAAATGTATGTTCTGAGGAAGACTTGGAAGAACTGGCTTGCTTTATTTAGTAAATAGATGGTGAGGAGAGGACAAGCTAGCAATCTTTAAATAGATGGTGAGGAGAGGACAAGCTAGCAATCTTTAAATAAATGAAAGGATACAGTCAAGAACAGGGTATGGGGTTTCTGTCTGGAAAGGCTGGCAAGAAGCATTTGACTTAGTGAGGGAGAGAAAACCCTGATAAAAACAAGAAAAAAATCTTAATTCTACAGTAAGACAAATGATGGAGCAGCTATCTAGGAAAAAACTTTTACAGAAATTGTTTAAAAACACTATAGAAAAACAACTGTGATGAGCACTGTGGGACTGTTAGACCCTCTTCAAATACAAGAATGGATTACATAACCTGTTGAGGTCTGTACCGGCACTACATTTCCACAACATCTTTTATTGATTTTGATACTTTATACCCTTGGTTTTAATTTCTATGATTTCTAATACATGATATAGAAAGAACAAAAAAACCTGACACACCTGGAAATATCTGGAGACAATAAAATTTCATGCTCTGGTTCCCTAGGAAGAAGTCTTTATCATTCCAGTCTTAGAAGAGTGTTTTAATTTATTTAAAGAGAGTTAAAAGAATAAAAAAGGAACACACATCCCACAATGGAAAAGTACATGTAATATCCTTCCAACCATCCGCTTCTGCCAATTGCAAAGTTTCAAGTTAACAGTCGAGCTCTTTTTAGGTGGCTTGGTGGTTACAGGTGGTGTAAAAATATTCTATCTGCATTTGAAGCTAAACATAAGAATAAAAAATATTTTACAAGTAGAGTTATTTCATGCCACTGTCATGTAACAACATGCAATATTCGTTTTTTACTGTTATTTCTGAAAACAGTGATCCTAGTTTGAACAAAATTATACTTACGGTTAAGTCTTCTTACTTATGGTTAAATCTTCTTACTTATGATTCAGTATACTAATCATATACTAATGATTATTGTCTTTCTTACACGACAGGGCAAACCATTAGTCTCTGCAAACACCGCTCATTTATTTGCAGCTGCATTGCAGCAGCACCCAGAGTTCTCAGGAAGGTTCGTTACCAACCTGACCTTAGCGCGGCATTACCAGCAGTACTGATATTTTGTTGAGGTACAAATGGCCTCTACTGCTTGTATGGCTATGTCAGGTAGGATTGGCCCCTGCCGAAAGAGAGTTGGTGGCCCGCCACCCTGCCCGCGTGGTTCAGCTGCCCCACCAGCGCGGAGCCGGAGTCCAGCTGCTGGCAGGACGGTTTGGGTTGTTCCCAAAGGATGGTGCTGGGGCTGGCGGATTGCCCCAGCAATCAATTGCCCCAAACGCTGCCAGAGACAGGTCCCTTTTCAAATATTTTGCGTTGAGTCAATTTTATTAGATGAGCTCTAGAAATCTTAACATTTTAACAACCTGACAGGGATATAAGAAAATAAAATGCACGGGTCGGTTATTTAAAAAAAAAAAAAAAAAATCAATAAACCAAAATCCATGAAACCCAAACAAACATGACTTACACCACAGTTTTAGCTGGCGTGGAAAATCAAAGCAGTAATTTATTTTAAACCAAATCTTAAGTGACACACCCGATTTAACAAAATTGCCATTATAAATGCCACAATGCATTCTCTTTTTTTGTTCAGGAAACTTTGGTCTGAGCTTACCGGTTTCCTTTCGCCTCTCAGGTTACACAAGCCCTTACGCTAAGGAATTTCGTAACGTAAACTCTACCTATTAGCGTTGGCTGGGGACAAGCTCAGGATCCTGGCTGCAGGGTCAGAGGACATGGCAGTACGAGGAGGAAAAACAAATTTAAAAAGAAAAAAACCAATCGAACTCAAAACAACCAAGGACTGGCAGAGCAGGGGGTGAGCAGAATTAGCACCCGGAGCGTGTCCTGGTGGTCAGATCTGCTGTACCCACATGGTTTGCTCACGGAAGCTTCCGCTCT